TCCGCCTCCTCCTCCTCCTCCTCCTCCTCCTCCTCCTTCCTCCTTCCTCCTTCCTCCCGTCCGCTCTACTCGCGAGAGCGATGTTAAGGATAATTTCCCTTAGGGGCGCGGGGAGGGGTGGGGTGGTCCGGGAGCCCGCGACGACAGCGGCCCCCTCTTAATTAGAGCCACGGCATCGCGGGTTATTCTGCCGCGATGATACTCTTCTCTCTCTCTCTCTCTCTCTCTCTCTCTCTCTCGCTCTCTCTCCCCTTTCCCTCGCGCCATGCCATACTGTCGGCGGGTAGAGAGCAGCAGTCTTGTCCCGCCGACCCTTATAGCCCGCCGTGATCCTTCCCTCCCTGCTTCAGAGAGGCGTGGCGTGGCGTGGCGCGCGGCCGAGATTGGGGGGACGCCTGGGCGGGGCGGGGCGGGGCGGGGCCGGCAGCACGTAAACTATAATTAATTTTGGCTGGCCGAGGTCCTCGTTATTAATCATGGGTGCTGGCTGGAGCGGCTGGAGCGGCTGGAGCGACTCAAGCGGCTGAAGCGGCTGAAGAGGCTCGAGTAAAGGGTTGATAATTACCGAAAATTTCTGAAAAATTCCGAAAAGACAACTTTTTTTTAGAGGGTTGAAAATTTCCTTTTTTCTAACATTCCAGTTTTTCCGTCAATTTTCTGTTTTCCGAAAATTTCCCGTTTTTCGGAAATTTTTCGTTTTTTGGAAAATTTTTCGTTTGTCCTCAACCTTTCCATAGAGCTTCCAACCCTAGGCTGGAGCTGCTGAAGCGGCTGGATTAGGGTTGGAAATTTCCAACAATTCCGAAAAAAAAATTGGTGTCTGGAAATTATTGGGTTGCTGCTATGGAGCTGCCGGAGCGCCGCCCTTTAACGCCCAGCTGGAGAAGCTGGAGTCGAAATTCTTTTAGACAGCTTTCAGCAGGAAGAGCGGCAAGTGAGGAGGAGGAGGAGGTTTTAAGGGAAATTATCCTTAACATCGCTCTCGCGAGTAGAGCGGACGGGAGAGGGAGAGAGAGAATATAAAGGGGAGACTTGTTTGTTCCTCAGCCACGGCTCCGTGACCTTGCAGGAACAACAACACAAGCGCCACTGCTCACGCCTCACGCCGGTAAAGCACACAACAACCGACAACGTGTGGGGGGCAGGACGATTGATTTTTATTTTC